CAAGGGCTAACCCATCACACCCTCACTGGAAGCAGAACTCAGTGCCACAGGGAATAAGGCCTGAAACAAATTCTCCCTTAAAAATAGGAATGACTGAAAAGTAAATCCAGTGTAGTGAGATGCTGAACATGACTCGCTTGTCTCCTGCCTCTTCCCCTTCTCTCCCTCCCTGTCCTGGTTTCAGCTGAGACAGAGTTAATTTTCTTCATGGTAGCTAGCATGAGGCTGTGAGGCTCAAAACATTCTGATGTTTTGAGTTGTTGCCAGGACAGCGAAGGCCTTTCCAGCTTCTCATGCTTTGCTAGCGTGCAGGTGCACACGAAGCTAGGAAGGAGCATAGCCCACAACTACTGGCCTAGGATTCGACCTTAAGTTAGAATTGAGGCCCAAATGGGCCAACGGTCTATTCCATATCATGCACATCATGCCCAGTAGATTAGGTGAGGATCTGTCTGGAAGCTCTCTCTTGGGCTCTTGGGTTCTTTTCTCTTTTCCAGAACTGCAGTTTCAGGACTCTCTCTGTGCCAGGATCATTAACCAAGAACAAGATGGTGAGAAATTGCACTGTGTATCACTCATTTGGATATTTGTGTATTATTTCTATTATCATTATTATTATTTTCAGTTTTATTGTATTTTAGTTATTAAATTGTTCTTATCTCAACCCATGAGTCTCCTTTCCCTTTACACCTTCAATTCTCTCCCCCATTCCCCGGGGGTGAGGGAGGGTGACCGAGTGGCTGTGTGGTATGTGTTGCCTCTGGGTTAAAAACCACGACTCTGCCCCATTTGCCAGAGGTAGCCCGGAAGGACACATGCAAAGGCAAGCTATGAGAAATCCTCTAGGTGATGAAACACCTTGCTCAAATTCTGAAGCTGACATTGCTCCACTGCCCTTACTGTTGTGTGCAAGATTCAGTCTTGTACAAGTTGTTTTCTGTTCTGGTTTATCTGTCAGCTTGAAAATTGGGTGGATGGTTCATGAACAGATTTGTCTGTAGTATCGCTTTTGCACCTGTCTGCACAGTCTTAGATGTCACTGGGGCTCAAGTGACCTTGGGTCTGTGAAAGTACGTGAGAAAATGAAGGAGTGCGCATGACTATTATATCAGACAATGAGTTGGACCTGGACCTTCTCTGGTGTGAATCAGAGAAGTAAATCAAAATGACAGCTCCTGCCATGTTAAAAAACCACACCGTAATGAAATCCTCTCTTTGCGAAGCAGAAATGCTTCCCATGTCTGGAGAAGCACATTACATGAGAGGTGTTGAATGAGCCGAGGTGCTAAGGAGTGAGCTTCTGGGAACGCTTTGCCATGGAGAACACTTCATGAATCAGTTATAACCATGGCTGCCCTCTCTTCCACCTGCCGGCAGGCTTCCTTGCTCCCAACCAAGTCTGTGCTGCTCCCTGCCCCATTCCAAAGGGGAGGTGGTACCGATGAGCACATTTGCTCACAACGTTGTTTTCAGAAGGAGAGCACTAGTTCTGAAGGTGCAGAAGGAAATGCAGGAGCAGCCTGTGTGACACTGCACACTAGGCCAGCGTTGACAAAGAGCTGCAGGTTTCAAAACAACCTCTGCTCAGCCACGGGTGGGAGGTTGTGTTTCTGTGTCAGCTTAGAATCCGTAGTTTGTCTTGTCTAAAGGGGATTGCTGTGCTGGAAATGAATATTTAACAACCACTGGTTGATTGATTAAGGTTTTTTGGTGGCGGTTCTTGGAATTATTGGGTTTTTGAACAAATCCTGAAAATAGGCCCTCATAAAAATGTAACAATATAAAATTGTAGTGAAGTTCTTTTACCAAATTGTAGTGAAGTTCTTTCACCTTGCACTGGAGCTTTGCTGAGAGATGTCGAAACTGTGCACACACATTACTTAAATGTTGCTAGGGTTTTCCCGCAGACTGCAAAGACCTGAGACAGGCAGGAGAAGTAGCATTTCAAAGGTTATAATTTTTAATAGAGTCTGGGTCAGGGCCGCATGAACATGACTTTGAGAATAACACCGGGCCAGCAAATGCCCTGAGCCCAGCTTACAGCTCCATCAGCAGGCACTGGACTTGCCTTGTGCCTCTTGTGGAGGGGCTGAGAAGGGAGGATGTAAAGGGAGCAGACAGCATTTTGTCATGTTGGACTTTGCAGGGGCCCTGAAAGCTGTGTCAGTGTAGTAAAGGTGGGGGTGAACTGCTGGTGGTGATGATGCTCTGTCCTCCAAAAGCCCGAACACGCAGGCTGGCGGCAGCACAAGCCTGAGCACGCGCAGCCTCGCTCCCTCTTCTTGGCTTCCTTCCCTCTCTCCTCCGCCGCCTCTGGCTGACCAGATCCAGAAGGCCACTCCCCTGTTAATCAGTGATTACCCAGCTCCATGTCCCGTGAAAGGGTGCGTGTCAGGCAAAAGGCCTCTGCAGCTCTCGGCACTCCACCACATCCCTCTGCGGCCGCTCTGCCGCTTGCTGAGGCGCTGCCCGCTGAGCTGGGGTGGCGGGAGCAGCCGGCGGAACTCCTCCCAGCGCTGGAAGGCCATCATGTGATTTTTATGGCTGCTCTCTAGAGCGGTGTTTGCTCTGCTCCCGGACACCATTGCTTCCTCCTGAGGGTCCTTCCCTGGCAGAGCCACAGCCGGGGCCAGGTTCTGGGGAGCCATGACAGAAGTGAGGAGAGAGGTGTTTGGGCACATGCCCCAGGAGGAAGGAGAAGAAGTGGTGGAAAAGTTCATCTTAAAGTCGGACAGCGTGAAAGTGGAGATCCTGTCCTTGGGGTGCATAATCACCACGCTGGAGACGAAAGGCAGGAATGGGGAGTTTTCAGACGTTGTCTTAGGCTTTGACACTTTGGAAGGTGGGTCTAATTCTGTTTCTTTAAAAAAAAAAAAAATTCAGTCAATTTAACCAGCGTTTTCTGGTTTATTGCCACACTGCATGATTTGCTTCTAGGGGTCCCCTCCAAATCATGGGCTGAATAAATACAGCTCCTGCTGCCTGACCTGGGCTCAGCGGCGGGCAGGGAGCGGTGACGCTAGTGGCTCCAGGCTGCAGTGTGCCCCTCTAATGGGGTGGCTCTGTGGCATTCCTTGGCCGGTGGTGACAGAGGCCCTTTCTGCAAGTCTGCAAAGAGCACAAGATCCCATCAGGGTGTTTTAATCAAAGATGTGCGTGACTAGCAAGCTGTGTGTCCTGTGAAACCCTGGGACTGCAGTTACCTGTTTAGTACAGGGGGGGAGCAGAGAGAGACTTCTGGGTCTGTAAGCACACCTGGAGACCCCCCATCCTGTCCCAATTCTTCTGCTTATAACTGCGCACTGGTTTTCTGGGCAGGTTACACGAGGAAGCACCCTTTCTTCGGCGCCGTCGTGGGGCGTGTTGCCAACAGGATTGCAAACGGGAGGTTCACCGTTGACGGGAATGAGTATCAGCTGTTTCTCAACAATGGGCCCAACAGCCTGCACGGAGGAGCCAGGGGATTTGACAAGGTGAAAATCAGGCTGGCGGGTCCTGGTGTCCTCCGGCACACAGCCCGTGGGGTTGTGGCAAAAGGATGCGACGTCTTCACTCCCAACTCTGTATGGTTTTCTGGTGGTTATTGAGTTGAATCAGGTCCCAGAAAGTGCTGTGAGTGTAGGAATGGGGGAAAGTGAGACTCTGCGAGGTGCTGCATCGGCTTGTCGTTGTCTGGGTGGCTTAGTAGGGCTCACTGATGTCACCCTCGGGTGCCACGCAGAGGGTTGCTGTGCTTCCTCTGTGTTACTGCAGCCCTGAGGCCTCGTGAGCCCCGTGCTGACAGGGTTGTCCTGGGGTGAGGTGCTGCTCCCCAGAGCCTGGGTTGGGACATGGTGAGGACCCAGCCTCATGCACAGTGGAGGTTCCCAGGGTGCCAGCTGCACTGCCCTGGAGTGGGTGCTAGAGTTGTCCCAGTGCCCAAAGAAAGTTTCATGGGGAACAGTGATCCACGCAGATTCGTTTGCACCTGTGGTTTCAAGACTGTTACCTGCCCATAGCTCCTCCCAGAGTCACAAGGTCCTGGGTTTACATTAGCTGAATAGAACTGCTGCTTGCTTTTGTCAGCACTCCCGAGTACGGGGGGAGCAGGGTGGTGCTGCAGGCTCAGTGCGGCTATTGCATCTCCCTCTCCAGTGCCATTTTCGTCCCATTGACGGCCACCCCAGGCTCTCTCTCTGACTCAGAGCAGCAGGTGACTAGATCAGACCTGCAAAATGCCCCAGCATCACTGTGTCCCCTCCCCAGCCCTTTCCTGTGACCTCCTGAGATAAAATAAACTTTCCCTGGCCCCAGGGCACTCAAACCTTTCTGTCTTCTCCCAAGAGCTGCTGCTGAAGTCTAGATGCCATCTCTGCACAAGTGGTAAGAGCAGCAGAGCACCTCCTCTCTTGAAAGGCTTTCTGATGACCCTTCTGATGCATAGCAGGCTCACAAGCCACTAGTTTCCTGAAGCCTTGGGCTTTGTTGGATCAAATGCATTTGTAACCATCAAGTAGATCTGCCATTTCCCCAGAGGAGCACACATGAATGTACTGGGGCAGCTGCTTTCCTGGGCTAATGTTTCATGAAAAGACATTGAGGCTGAAGGGGCAAAAGTCACAGTGTCTTGGAAAAAAGCTTGCTTCTGGGCAGCACAGTGTGAACTGGCATCAGATCAGGATCAACTGCTCCTCAGAAGCCCTAGAAAAAAGGGAGTAATGGGGTGACTTGGCTGTGGTACCCTCAAAGAGGAGAGCTTGGTTTCTTTACGTGCCCTGAGCCCCTGTGAGCTGGAGCTGAGAACATGCACCTCTTTGCACCCGGGGCTTCCAGGCTGTCTTCTGCAGACGGGGGATGTGGTGTCTTCTCCTGCCTCTTCCCCTTGCTTGATGAAGGCATGCCAACTGGGTGGGGACAAGGCAGCCACATGTCCCAGACAGGGCTTTGTGTCCTCTGGCCCTCGGGGCACTGCTCAAGGTCCCCTCCAGCCAGGTAATGGTCACTGTGCAGAGGCCTGTGGTCAGCCCTAACAAAACCAAGACATGCTGGCTCTTGGCTATGACTGTCTTGGCTATCTTGTCATTTTTTCCTGATGTTGCAGACCTCAGTGCTACAGTCAGCATATAGTCTGATGGCAAAGAAGCTTCCAGCCACCCTTACATGGTGGCAATATCTGACCACGCTGCTGGGGAATTGGGGGACTTCAGAAAATAACGCTCTTAGCTTTCAAAAATAGTGGTATCTGTATGCCTACTAGCCTTTAATAGATTTTTCTTCAAAGAACTGAAATAGATACTCATATATATACTCCCAGTATATATACTCCCAGTAGTGGGAGCTGCAGTCGAGCTGCACTGAGTGGAGGAGGACCTCTTCTGCAGCCTGGTTGTCACATTTGGCATCCAGGCATGTTTGGTAAAAGTGCTGGCTTTTGACAAGTGCCCAGAGTTTGTCATCTCTGCACAGGACATGAAAAGCATCACTTGGCCCCTGCCCCTAGATCTGTCCTCTTTGATTAGATAGTAGCTATTCCTTAGCTAGAGTCAAAGCTCCGGAGGCTGGGTTCCTCGCCTCTCATTGCGCATGTGTCCTGCAAGGGCCTGAGACATCTGCTTAGCATCAGGTCCACAGCCAGGGTCAAACAAGTTGTCTGGGCAGCTGAATTTACAGTGCGTTGGCTTGCTTCGCTCACCAGGAGGTTCAGCTCCAAGCAGAGCCTTTGTCTGTGACAGGGGCAAGAAACAGAGAGGTCCCAGTCCTCTGGATCAGCGCTGGTGTGTGGATGTACCTGACAATACATCTGGTACTATTTAACCCAACCCAGCCCCTGAGCAGGAACTCTCAGTGTGTGGTTACATTGTCCTAGAAGCCAGCCCCGAGTGAGCTGAGGGAAGGGCAGCTTCTCATTGAGGTGATGTTACACACCAGGAGATCCATGGGAGGGGGAATAAGTCCAGCTGCAGGGCAAAAATCAAATGCATGGACCCTCTTAGGCATGGAGTAACATGGGCTGAGACAGATCCCTGCCAGAGCAAACTGGTGCTTGTGTTTTCTCCCACTTCCTTTTTTTTCCTTCAACAAGTGGATATTGTTTTGTAGTCCTTCATAGGGAGAAAAAGATTGTTTGGGCTTTTTTTTTTTTTTTTTTTCTTCTAGGGGGAAGAGCAGGAAAGATAATTGAAAAAACCTTTGTTTCAGTGCATCATTCCTTGAATACCTCTTGTCCCTGGGTTCAGCCCAGCCCAGGGAAGAAGAGAAGGGCACTATGTTTCCCATGACTGTCCCATCAACAGCACACTCCTTGCAGGTTCTCTGGAGCTCCCAGGTCCTCCCAAACAGTGTCTGCTTCTTCCGGCTCAGCCCCGACGGTGAGGAAGGCTACCCTGGTGATCTGAAAGTCTGGGTGACCTACACACTCAGTGGTGGGGAGCTGGCCATCAACTATCGAGCCCAGACCAGCAAGACAACACCCATCAGCCTGACAAACCATGCGTACTTCAACCTCGCAGGGCAGGTAAGTGTGGGGACGTGAACCCTGTGGAGGGACTCTGTGCAGGGGAAGAAATGCTGGGCACCCATGGGATGATCCCTGGGCTTTCCATGGGATTGTTGGGACCAACATGCTGGTCTGGGGACACAGCGACAGGCGTTGTCTGTATGCATCATGGGCTTCATACAGCCTACGAGCTGGGACAGGACCAAATCACATGGACCTCAACTGAGGACTTGTTATCCCAGTGTGTCACGAACAGAGGCATCCCATCGTGAATATTAGTTCTCCCTTTGTGTGTAAGTGGGGAGTTTCAGTCTCTCCTGGTCCCTCCAGAAGATTGCGGAGGAGGTGCAGAACTGGCATGCCCTACTGGTGGCAGGTCTTAGCTGTCTTCTGGTGGTGCTTCTGAGACAATGTATTGAACCCTCACAGGATGGTGCAGCTGAGATCAGGGCCTGCAGTGCCAGCCAGAGTCAGCACAGCACCAAAATACTCAAGTCAAAATGGGGAGGAGAACCATCATGGAAAGGGGATGTGAGGTGGCCAGCCAAGTTTGCAGAGCAGTAGCACAGCACAGAGGGCTCCCACACACCAGTCCAGGGTCCTGACAACTAGACAGGCATTGTATTGCAGCTGCATTTTAGTCTCATCCTGTTTATAACTGGGCTTGGAGGAAAAGGATCTGGGAAATAAAAGGTTGCTGGGCAGAGCAATAGGATGGGACGGTGCGGTCACACTTGGATGTGAGACAAAGACCCTTAAAAGTGTTAGTGAGAGACATCCCAGCCATCTGTACTGGAGGTCTGCCCAGGCTGCTGCTCTAGTAATGACTGGGCATTTGCTAGTCTACCCTCCGTTTGTCCTGCCAGTGGTACAGTAATATCAGCACCTACAGCATGCAACTCAGGCACGATTCCAGAGGAACGGGAGACCTTCGGGCATGAAATTGCTGCTCAGATTAGACAGTGACGTGCAGGCTCATCTTTGATGCTTACAGCCCAGCAGGTCCCCTTGCCAGCATCCCTGAGGCTGCGGGAGAAGAGCGCAACTCCCTGCACTGCAGGAGATGAGCCAGGAGGGTGGGTTGCACTTCCCCATGCTTGCTTCCTTCCCCTTTGCCCACTGCTGTGTGTGCAGCAGCCAGCATGTTTGGGCTAGTCGATCTGCAGGGTGGTAGTGCTAGGTGAGGGACAAGTTCAGACTGATCGTCTCAGCCCTGCAGGATTTACAGCTCCTAGGTCCCATACAGGTTTTTTTTGCCTGTGCTGGTACCTTTGTCCTGTGCCCAGGGTCAAGGTGGGAAGACAGCTAGGAGGTCCTCCAGGCGCTGCCAGATCAGCTGTAGCACCACAATGGGCAGTGACTTCCTGAGTGTGCTTGGGGCTGCTCAAATGGTGTAAGGGCCACAGCAGGAACCCCAGTGTTTCCCATTCTCTTGCAGGGTTCAGGGGATATCTATGACCATGAGATTTCTATTGAAGCAGATTCCTACCTGCCTGTTGATGACACCAAGATCCCTACTGGTAGGTGGTGCAACACCTGCGGCACGTGGTGGGGGTGGTTTTACAGATGAGTGTTTGTGGATATTGGGGAACAGCACTGCCTGGCAAGGAGGGACACACCAGGACCCAGGGGACCCTAGGCATAGCAGGGTCTTGGGACACACCAGGACCCAGAGGAGCCTAGGCATAGGAGGGTCTTCACCCATGGGTACAGTCCCACAGCACCTGAGCAGCGTGGGCAGAGGCAGGTGCTGGTAGCAGGGTCCATTAGTAGCCCCAGACCTGGAGAGGGGATGCACCCTGCAGGATCCATCCGAGGGGTGCAGGCAAGAGCAGCAGGAAATGGGGCCAGAGGCAAGTGGGATGCGAGGCTGCAACATGGGTCCATGGTGCCCATCCAGGAGACAAGCTACCTGTGACACAGGACCAATGCGTGTCCCTCCAGACCTGTTTGGCCAGTGAGCCCACCAGAGAGGGTCAGTCAGCACTTTGGGAGCTGGGATTGGCCTGGGGTATGCCTGCTTTGCTTCCTCTAGCAGTGCTCAACTTTATCATCCTTCTCCACTGGGGTTTGCCACGTGAGGTCAAGGTTTTACTTCCACAGGTCTGATTTCCATAAGATCAGCCCATGCTCAAAGTCCACAGAAAGCAGAATTCATTTCTTAAGCCTCAGTAGAACGTGGGATATGCAAGCAGCATGCCCTAGGCACAGGGCTGCTGTCAATAAATGCACACCGGGACACGGTCAGACTCCCTGATCTGGAAGGCAGCTCCCAGGCCCGGTGCTGAGCTCTAGAGCTGCTGGGATCTGTGGTGCTTGGAAGCCCAGCATCATCCTTCCCTGCGAGAGGTGAGCCATCAGTCCCTTCGTCAGGACGGGAGAGCTGGTGCTACTGGCTGGGAGGCTGAAGACAATAACCCAACGCTTTTTTTTCCTGTCTCTAACGTCCTGCATGGGTAAAAGAGGAAAGGCAGTTAAGGCAAACAGCATGGTTTGCATTCTAAGCAGGTTCATTAAACAAAGGTGGTATTGCTGCTGTCTCCAGCCTCAGCATGGAAAAGCGAGCTGCTCCCAATCTTGATTCAGGGGGTAAAAAAGGAGAAAACAGGGCTTTCTAGTTTTCTCCCTCCCCCCTCCACTCTGTTCCTCTCCATTAAACGATTGAGCTGTTAACTACTCTGACCGAGCTGGGACAGAGAACACCAGCACTGGACGGTGCACTCAGCAATAGTCTCACTGCTGAGAAGGGAGCACCGTGCTTTGGGCAGCCTGACCCCAGCCCTCCCACCACCTGCTCCAACACCAACTTTTCGTTCAGTGTAAGCGACCGTGCTGAGCTGTAGCAGAGTTGATCTAATTGCAAAATTCATCTGATACCGACTTTGATTGTTTTCAAGAATGAAAAGCATTCTTTAAAAATCAAAATCTGGCTTAATTTTTTTTTGAAAAATGTCACATAGATTAAAATAATCAAAAAAGCAGACTGGTATTTGCTTCTAGAGGATGGCTTTTCATCCAGCCCGACTGGCTGAGAGGGATAGAGGCTGGTGGGGGGCAGATGCTGAGCCGCGGCAGGCAGGGGTGCTGTGCAGTGCCCGAGATCTCCAAAGGACAGAGTAGTGAAAGGAGCACCGAGCAGCTGCTCTGGGGCAGAAATACCGGGAAGGAAGGCTGTGCTCCTGAGTGCAGCTGGCATCAACGGAAGAGAAACTGGGTGTGAGGCGGGACGTGTGCCCGAGGGCTGCGTGAGCCCGTGGGGCAGTTTCTGGTAAGTGTAGGCTCTGCTGGAAATGGCAGGGCTTGCTTCCCTGGTGCTCTTTCAGGGCTGCTTTGCTGAATGTACCTTCTGACTTCAGGAGGGAGAGGAAAAGAAGCTTTAAAAACAAAACAAAACAAAAAAAAAAAAGCAAGCAAGCAAGCTTGAAACCAAGAAAAGAAAGCAAGAAAGCTCAGGTGTCTGCTAAAACCAGAGTTACAGCTGCGTTCATGAACCAAATGTGTGTGCATGCATCGGCTTGCACCTGGAGCAGCGGGTCTCCCCGTCCAGGCGGCTTCTGCTCAGCTTGGTGGGTCGTGCCAGGGAGGAGCTTCAGGCCACACCAAACCCGCTGCGCTGCTTCTCCCCGCTGCTCTTACCATCGAGCTGTTCACATCTTAACCGCAGCCGACTTGATTCCTCTGCTTTTTGCAGTTCCCTCTTGGTATTTTGGGTAAACGTAGCCTTTGAAGCTGTCAAAGCCGTGTTTAGTTCACCCCAGTCTTGCCCTTGTGCAGCTATTAAAGCCGGAGCCGTTGCACGCAGTGGCTGCCTAAAACAAATTTTTTTTTTGCCCCTTGATGTTTTTCCGCCCCACAGCTGAATTCAGTAAATGCGTTCCTTTTAGATAGGATGAGAAGCCACAGCAATGTGCTGTTGGTTAGGTGGAGACTGGTGTTTCTCAAGGTTTGCAGAGCCTGCAGGCCTGCTGGCCCTTGGAAACCTCTCTCTTTAGAGAGGGATAGAAAAATGTGACTTGAGGGAAAAATCTCCTCCCCTGCCCGTCCTCTCACACCTCCCCCCCGTGGAAATCCCCTTTGGTTTGGGATGGCTGTGCTTTGCACGGTGTTTAGGATGTCTTAGGGTTGTTCTCACTGCAAGAGCTTTGTCACAGGATGCTGCATCTCCACATCAGATCTTAAAAACATACTTCAGAGAAAATGCTAGTTTTATGGTCTGAAACATTCTTTTCCTGAAACAATGCCTTGAGGCAGGAAGGGACTGGTCCCAGGATACAGCCCATATTCACCATCCCGGCAGGTGGGCCGTATTTCCGGCCATCTCACAGATGTTTTTGCAGAGATATGGGAGGATTTGTTTATTTATTTAGAGAGAATCTGTATATAAATCTTATGCATATATAAATACTAATAGCTAATAAGCTTTGATTTTATATTAATTAGCTTGTACAGTTCCATATCTTGTGTGCTGGCTCCGTGGCTTTGCTTTGTCCCAGCTAAGCGCAGCAGTGTCCACAGGGCTGCCAGCTCTGCTGGGGGACAAGGTGCTGATGTCCCAGCCCAAGTCAGCAGCCACAAGGCAAGTTTGTTCAAAGTGGGGCACCACGATGAGACAAGGATCACAAGCAGCTTAAAATCCTCAGGTCACCATGGCGAGGGCTCGCAACCCTGCGCAGGGGCCAGCACCGCGGCTGTTTGCTGGAAGAGAGTGAGCGGCTGATGCTGGTGTTCTCCTTGCCCAGGGGAGGTGGCCACTGTGGAGGGCACCGGCTTTGATCTCCGGCAGCCTGTGGAGCTGGGGAAGCACTTGCAGAAGTTTCACTTGGACGGCTTCGACCACAACTTCTGCCTGCAGCAGACACAGGCTCGACGTCTCGCGGCCAGGGGGGCTGGGACCTTGGCAGGGCTCCCCCCCCCCCGGGAGCCATGGGGCACCCGTTCAACCAGCCACTTGGCATCACCCACCGGCATCTCCCCAGGGCTCGCCACCCTCCCACCGGCAGGGCCATGGAGGTTCACACCACCCAGCCTGGAATCCAGTTTTACACGGGGAACAACATGGATGGCTCCCTGAAAGGCAAAGGAGCCGTCGTATACGCCAAGCACTCGGCCTTCTGCCTGGAGACCCAGAACTGGCCTGATGCTGTCAACAAGGTTAGCTGGCCCCCTGGCCTGGGAGCTGCTGGGCCCTGCAGCAGGGGACCCTCCCACCACCGCTCATCTCTGGGTGTTAAATATGTGAACAGAGTCTGTTTGGTGAGGGGACGCTGCGCTGTAGGCACCAGATTCACAGCATCATGCGGGGTTGGGCAGGGGCCAGCCAGCGTGGCAGGGACTGGCCCTGCACAGCCCAGCTTCCCGAGGGTGCGGGGTCTGAAGAAGAAGACCCCACTGGGCCTTGCCATGTCCTCCCCACGGGGCCTGAATCCAGCCGGGGGAGGACTCGCCCACTCAGCCAGCGGGCAGGTAACAGGGGGTTCAACGCTGCTGCTGGGAATGCCGGGGGGAGCTGTGGGACGCCGCCCAGGGAGGCTGAAGGCATGCGGCCATAGTCTCATGGCCCTTCCCGGTCCTGTGGTGGTGTGCTCACCATCACTGACGTGCTGCTGCCTCTCCACAGCCCCACTTCCCCAGCACTCTGCTCCGGCCGGGCGAGGAGTACAACCACAGCACGTGGCTGGTGTTCAGCGCTGCCTGAGGGAAGGGATGCTGACCCCCACCACCGGCAGGGTAAGTGCCTCTGGCAGGTTAGCCAGAAGAACCACCGGGTGCCAAATGGCACCTTCAAACTACGCTGGGCGACGCACCTCCTCTGTGGTTTTCACCTGGGGTTTCTGCTGGCTTTAATTCCTGCACAGGTCTGTGCAAAGCTCTCACCCTCTGTCCAGCATCACCCTGGGCATGAGGTTTTGCTTTGCAGTAAAACTGCCCTGAAAACACCTTGTTTAGGGAGATGGCATGCTGCTGCTCAAACTACAGCAGGGGGTAATATTAATGTGGAGCATGTGGGAAGATGGATAAAAAGTTGCGTTCACTCCAACACCAGCTGTTCCCAGCAAAGGGCTCTGAGTTGTGCTGGCTGCTGCTCCCGCTCCCAGGACCTGCCCCACAGCTCGGTGCCAGCCCGTCAGACACCCTGACCTTCCCGTGCTGGGGAACAGGGCAGCCCTTGTGGCCGGAGCCACCAGGTCCGACAGCAGCCTTGCCATGGCACAGAACAGCTCTGTGGAGGCTGGTCTGCTGGGATGATCCCAGCTGGCTGCCCTGGCTCCTCTGGTTTGACTCGTATTTTGATGACAGCAGCGATAGCTGCGCAAGAGCATCTTCTGCACTACCCCTTGCCCCCCAGCCCCATCCAGGCTGCGCAGGGTGCGCACACCCCGCCTAGAGGTGCAGAGCCCAGGGTCACAGCAGCAGCAGTCACACGAGCACAGCCTCTGTCCAAGCGTCTTTTCCAAGAGCTCACAAACAACACCGAGTGGAATTTTTGGTGAAATCCTCCAAAACTCAGGTGAGGGCTGGAGCTAGACAGCCTGCTCCGAGGATGACGTCTGGAGCTGAGGCAGCACAGCCACCCTGTTTTAGGTCACCACAGCTGCACAGAAGCACGGGCACGGGATTTGCCACTGCTCCCTCTCTGCACCTCGGAAGTGTTGGCTGTCCTTCGTAGTGGCCGCAGCTGCAGGCAGGGCTGCACCTACCAGCACAGCCCTGCCTCCTTGCTCAAGTTCTCACTGCTCAGCCCGGGTTTCGAGGAACCCGGCCCCTACGGAAACCCAGCTGCCTCCGCTCTGTCCTCCACAGTGCTCCGAGTACTGAAAAACAGGTACCAGTACAGCTGTTGGGTTAGTCTGCAGGTTTATTGTGCGGTAGGTTTGCCTTAAGAGTACAGAAAAGAAAAAACTGATCAAATTCCAGAGCAGCGGTATACGCGTGCTGCTCACCAGGTACACTATAAACCGGGCAGGCAATGCACAACCAGTAAATATTCCAAACACCAGTCACAGGCTCTGGGCATTTCTGCTAAATCACTGCAGGGCAACATTTGTGTCAGCCCCTGCTCTCCCATGGCGGTGCCAGTGGAATTTAATGGATATTGCCAAAATCTCGATCATCGCATCCAGCAGAGGAAACACTAATCCCCATCACTGAGTGCTGTGGGAGTGTCCCAGGCAACCAAGTACCACACCAGTTCAGACAAGGCATCGGGGCCAGACAGCACTGCGGCGTGACAGGATTTTCAGAAGATGGACTATTTACTCATGTGCTGATAAAGCTCCATGAAGTTGTTGCTAACACAAAACCTGGCTTTTGAAAATCATGGGCTACCCAAGGTATGACAAGTCGATCTTGTAATTTTTTTTTTTTTCATTGAAGATGCTCTGCTGTGGTTTACATATTGGAAGCACGCTGCCACGACAGATTTCCTAAGAAGCCCAAACAGGCCTCATTTTCCACTTCAGTGTTTTGTTTACTGCTGCAACTCACCTTTACTCCTGCTAGATATCCCATCGCAGTAAAAAAATGTTTGCTTTTTCCCCTTCCACCTACTGTTAGACTGTTTGGTCACAGTTTAACATTGTTTCTCGTCTTTTGCTGTGCCTTACCGTGCAATTCTTGACTCCAGAATGAGGACAAACACAGTTCGACATACCCACAAATAATTAATCCTGCAGGCGTGTATTTCCTAGAAGATATTAGCTTAATTCAACAAAATCTTCTCCAGGATCTGGGCTGCTTTAAAACCATACCAATTTCTGTGAAGCATGTTGGAATTCCTGCGGTAAGCTGTGAGAATCTTTAAGGAGGAAAGTTTGAGTGAGCTGCAAAGACTAATAACAGCTTTCTTTTGCCTCACAAAATATTCCTAAGGTCCTTCAGAAAATAGATGAGAAGACCTTAAGTCTTCCCTCAAAAAAGGACACGCGCCTTGAGACACTTTAAGAAATTTTCTTTATATTAATAACCTAAAGAATGCCACAAGCAAAGTAGCAATTGTCAAGTTATGAATCACTTCTATTACATTTAAAGGTTTCTGTGTATGTTATTTGTTTAAAACACATCAATGTGTTGAAGAAAAGCTCATCCTTAAGTTTCTGGGTATCTGGTATCACAACTAGTCAAGCACCAGAGAAAAAGCTTTGCAGAATAATTACATCAGGGAGAAAAATGAACGCTCCCTACTAAAATACCGTAAAGGAATAAAAGGGCAGATACAAATTTTTAGCCATCTGCAGACAAGAGATGGATTTTAAATTCCATTTCAAAGAAAGCAGAAACTGATACTTTCAAGCAAAGACCATTCAACAAGAAATGTGTTTGGTTTGAGAAGATACCTATATTAGTCATTCCCATTTCAGACATTTTTCATCCACATTACATGGCACACAGCTAAAATTACCCAAATGTTAACAGAAGCAGCAGTGTTACTACAGACAAGTTTTAGTTAAAAATACACATTTTATTTCAATGTGCCAATAAAAAAGTCCCACATTTTCATATCACAGGAAGTTAATTCATACAATAAAAAGAGACCTGTGCTAGTCTATTGATGTGACCAACTCAGAAGACCCAGATCATGCCAAATTTTAGTTGATATACTCTTCTATCTACATTCTTACATTTACAAAGACACCACAAAATCCCTTATAATAATGTAAGCAAAATAACTTTCTTCCTAAAAGATTAACTTCATAACTTTAATCCATTCTTTCAGGACTTGCACTTCTCTGAGGGCTTCCTGATGGTGAACGACTGAAAGTAAAAGAATCCAGAGTTAACATTTCAGTAGTCACTTGGGATTCACAAATACAGGAAAAAGCAACAGGAGGATACCTCGACTAATCCAGTGCCCTTTAAACACCGGTTCTTAATAAAATAACCAATCACAATTGACAAAGTTCCTGGGCTGATGACTTAATGTTAGAGAGAATACATTAATTTTTTTTCTTACTTTCACATTTGCATTTCTCTGCTGTTATTTTTATAATACAATTTCAATGAACGTGATCATTGTAAAGTCATCTAAAGGGTACTACTAATAGCGACCTTCATGGAGGCAGGATACTTCTTCACTGGTCATACAGCAGCTTGTCAAAACCTATGATGGTGATCACTCAGCATTCCTGAGCATTTCATCAAGTCACTTGTGATTGTTTGTGAGGCTGGACTACCTACAGCCACATTTTTAAATTAAGCAAACCTAAGTGTAGAAGTTCTGTACGTATGTAAAAAAAAAACAAAACAAAAAAACAAAAAAAAAACCTTGCAGGGCAGAAAGATCACTAAGGCAAGCGACACATTGTGGCAGGTCTGCAGCTATTCTGACTGGGATACATCCCCTCCCTGCGAACCGGTGGTGTAAAAATGAACTAGTAAAGAATTCAAACTATGGAAAAAAAATGCTGCCAATTCTGTCAGTGCACATATATGCATACACACACATAGATAATTATTTACTAACTTACTGGGGGGGGGGGAATCAGAGTAACAGCAGTAAAAATCTTCCATTCCTGACTGCTATGCCAGGTCACTCCACTCATCTTCCCCAGTCTCTCTCACTGTAGCTCTTAATGAGACTCAAAGCTGATGCCCCCATTTATCCAGTGCTTTAAGGTCACCAGTAGAAAGCTTTTGTGCAATAATACTGTGAGTGAACTGAAATGAACGCAGGAGCAGACAAAGGCAAGATGTAACACTGCTAAAGTAACCAGAATCCCGAGGAATGATTGCCATGTATATATTACGACACATAAAACCATGATCACATTATTTCGGTCAAAGAGATGTCAGCAAAATACCTTTCCAGTATTTTGCTACAAGCAGCAGGCAAACTCCTCAGCAGAGATCACTGCAGACACTAAAATACCAGCTCTACGGACTCTACATTATTAGTAGGGAGATCAACGTACCTTCTCTTTGGAGACGGTGATCGGGACTTTGACTGACTGTCAAAACAGAAGATCATCAATGCAGCTTGCATGTCAAATGGAACTTTTATATTCCAAAAAATAAGCATCTTAGACAGCAATGGAATCTAGCCAGAAGCTCTTTAAAATGGCAAGTTTTCCAATCAATTTGTACTCTGACAGGGATCCTCAATTCATTTAGCATGGAGATTAATTTTAAGCAACTGTCTTCAGCAGAGAAAACAGGGAAACAAGGGGTAGTACTGAGGTGAGGCTTTGAGAAAAGAAACATCATCACAG